CTCGTACGCATCCACATTACTCATGATGATTAATGCTTCCAGCATGTTGTCCAAAATGCTCTCCAATTCAGCCAGTTCATTACTAACGGATGTGTCCGTGAGGTCCAAAAGTAACTGCTTATGGGCGTCTACGTATAGTGTAGAATGGGTCTACAGAGAGCGTTGAGGGTGGAAGGATACTTATTCTATTCCTATGTGTTATAAAGTCCATGAATATAAGTATGTCCATATTTAAATGCATAAATCGCACGCCAGGAATGCAAACCCATAGCGATTAAGGGAAGCGTTTTGGCATCATTCAAGAAGGCGATTTATAATCGCATTAAAATTGGTGTATGTAAATCTCAGGCCACATATGCAATTCGAAGTATTTACATATACACATCTACTTATCCAAAGCAATCTAACGGTAGAGACAAACGGCAGCCACTTAGCTGTCTCTCGCATGTGGTAAACCACCAACTGAATTCTGTATAAGGATTGTGGATGGGACAGTGGCATTGGGTATAGTGTGTAGTTTATGTAAGGAGATTGAAAACGAATGGGTTGGCACATGCAGTGGGGAAAGAGAGAGAGCAAAGAAAGACATTATGCGACGTCAGGGAACCAACCCACGAGGACACGCACACACAACAATTTCACAGACAATGAATACATTGGCAAAATGAGCCGATGGTGAAGGGGGTAGAATGCATTCACCAAAGGTAAGGCAGTGCATAGCGATGCCTCTCTCACAGCACTGGAATGCCTCACCCTATATGAAGTGCACCTTGGGCAGGAGCACAAAGAAATTTAAATAAATGCATGTACACGAGTCTCACACAGCAACAACAACGAAAAATCACAACAATTGTCTGCACGAGTGGAGGGCGGGAGCAGCACACTGAGAAAAAGAGTGATAGCGAGAGTGAGAGGGACGTGGGGTACATCGGGCGAGCGATGACTTTGCATTTTGCATTACATTTTGCTTGTTGCAACAAAAGCAGTTTGAAAATTATTGTAAAGTCCCTACCCGCCACAACCAGGAAGCCAAAGATCCCCGACTTAAAGGATGGAACAAGGATGTGGCCATAGCGGCATTCACGACAAACATTTGTATGATGAAAATTATTGTACATATTACATCTGATTGTACATCCTATACTCTAATTAACCCAAAAAACCAACTGAAGAACTCAGTTTTGATCTAATGGACATAAAACTCCAAAGCTCATTCAGGGAGTACCACCAATGTTGATGATTTGGAGTTATTTTAAGCTATTTTTGTTGGTGCTGCTTACACACGCAAATGTCTTATTTATGCTCAGCACTTTTGCACTTCCCTCTACCAGCTACCAGAGAATGCTGCACCCGCACCTAGCGACAACTTTTCGTGGCTAAATGTCTTCAACTTTGCTTACTGCTTACTGCGTTTCTCTCGGTCCCTCTCTCTCCGCAATTACTCTGGTCTGCGTCCTCTGATTCCACTATATCACTGGATATTCGACTTCTTCCTCAAACAGCAGTGCCCTTGCCGCATGTTCTTTGTGGCTTCATTTGCAAATGTTGCAAATAAACTGTAGATGTATGTGTGGGTGGAGTGGGTGCTGAAGTGCGCTTAAACTGCAAAATGAAAGTACAGTGGAAACTCTAGCGATGGACAGCGTCATCAGCGAGATATATCACTTGGTCCTGCAAGATTTAACGCTCCAAAAAATTCCGAAATATTTCTGATCAGAAAATTGACCTCTTTATAAACATTCTTTCCGTTTCTTTGTGCGTTTATCTCTAGGATTTTCCATAGATAATTCCAAGGAGCTCTTGACAGACTGCTTTCACTGTTTAATTTTCTCGATTCTCATTGACTTGGTCCTGTCTGGTTTCTGGTGTCTGTTGTGTGTGCGTATAGAAAGTTCCCATCTGCTTGTGGACCATTAGTCGGTGAGTTAGGGGGTTTATCAGAGCACTTTGGGTTATGAAAGCTGTGCAGAATTAAGGGAAAGTGCATATGCTGGCATGTGCCATTTATTATTCATGTTCAAGGGAACTGAGGTTCCAAAAATGGTTCACTACCTCGTTTAGTAATCCTCCAATCAAATGGCAACCCAGGCAGAGCGATTGTGCACTGCAACACAGAGATCAGATGGCATTGGCTTCTGCTGCGGCTGCTTCTTATTCTGTTCCTTCGTTTGGATGGCGCTTCCTTGGCAGGACCCACTCCCACTCCCACTCCCACTGCCACTCCTCCACCCACTGTCTCTGGGCCATACTTCAACTTCAGCTGTGGCTTTCTTATGCAAAAATGCATTGTTGCCGCTTGTTATTTTTGCATAAAAGAAAATTGTTTATTTAGCTTTGGATATATAATAAATATGTGTATGTATGTGTGTATGTGTATGTCCTATGTACATTTGACAAGAACTGGCAAGGGACTGGATTCCATGAGGATGTCTGGCCATTGCCTCGCATATTTTTGCGTCTCTCCTTTTGGTACCAAGCTGCTTAGCCCGGGCTCTAATAGACCCTTGCCAAGCCTTTTTTATGCTGCTTATTATGGCTGGAGAGGATTTACAGGGGCCAACCGCCACTCATCCTCCTTGTGGATCCTTCTTATTTATTGTCAGGGAAATTCGAGTCGAGATTCCTTTTTAATATGGTTATAATATACAATTTTTTAATGGCACATAATAACGTTAACTGAGGACTCGTCCTCGTCTTCCTCGTCGTCGTCGTCGTCGTTGTCGTCCTCGGCCTCCTCCTCGCCACTAACTTAATAAGCACCGAGTTAAAGTTTGAGTGCAGAGTGGGGAAACGAGGTTTACTGGACACGTTATGCAATTTAACAGAATTATTTAAAATTCAAAAAACTTCTGCGGAAGTGGGGCATGAAAAGTGAGCGAGAAACTTTGCAACCGGCCAACCTGCCGCCATGCTGCCCCCAACTGCAGCAACACTACTTGAAACGATGCCATGGGTCAGTCCGTGTGGCACTGGCAACTTTTAAATTAACCCTAATTCAGAATGCAACAGCAGCAGCAGCAAAATAAATACAAAACAAACTAAATACAACAACAAGAAAACAAAACAAATGGTCGTAGAGCGGAGAGTGAGGGAAAGAATAGAGGAAGCGTGAGCAACTTGGCAATATTCTTGCACATTTTTCAACTTTAACAATTTATTAAATGGGTCAAAAGCCACTAAAACTTCATTTATCATTGCATGAGCAGGCATTGCACCACGCCCCCCAATCCAACAGAGCAGAACCCAGCCCAACGCATTCCCCCACCCAGAATCATGGAGACCAACCAGCACCAGCCAGCACGTCACCCCCCCCCCCGTTGAAATGCCAACAAATCGCAGAGACGAATGAGCTTGGCAAACTTGAAGCGCTTCCGGAATGCCACAACTATTTTTTTCCACCTTCCACTTAGTTTTAGAAACAAAGGTATGCTGGCACTTTGGGTAGCAATTTCATGGCGATTGAGTCTTTAAAACTTAAGCTACAAATATGATATTAGGGCCTGCAGATACACAAGTGGCTTAAAATACTTTAGATGAAATGCATTGTGGTATTTTAGGTTGAACTCTCAATGTCTCTCAATCACTTTTACTGTAACTAGCTAGGGGTATAGGAACACTCTTTGAAATTTCCAAAACGTGTTTCTTACACCTTAATCTGTTAATTATTCGACTTCGCAGTGCACTTTAAAAAGAAAATAAACTAAAAAGTAAAGAAAGAAGGTCCAGAACTCGTATTGAAAATGGAGAATACAGAGTTCTCAGCAGCATTTCCTTAGCTATCCAATCAATCGATTGCCTTTTGAGTTGCCATCTGTGCCACCTCTTGTGTTACGTTTTCTGTCTGGAAACAGAAATATGAGTGTTCTTGTGGGTAGCATTGTTCCTGAGAGGGTTGAGCGCCTTGAAGGCGGCACGGTGGGTTTCTTAAATATGAATTTTAGAGGCCTTGTTGGAACCACCCTTGGAACCGTTGGACGGATCGGTGATCTGGTCCACAATGTTGGACGAATTGTAGGTCGTATATTCGGCCTCGTCGGTAAGAGTTTTGTGGGCATTCGCGACCAAATCAGAAAAGTTCGCGTTGTCCTTATTTTTGGAGATCTTGTGGTTCTGATTGTGGGAATCATTCGCAAACCGCTTGCTGTTTTCTGTGGCCTTCTGTTGTGTAGTGTTGGTCTTGGAGCTTGCCCAAGTGAATCGGCAGTATATGTTAAGGCTGTTGCTGGAGGCTTGGGGCTGGCTTGGACAGCCAGCCAGAGCCCCAAGCTAAAAACTATCCCCAGCGCGAAACGCATAATGAATGATCTGTGAAACGATGTTTCAGATTTATGTATATTCGTGGGTTAAAATCTGGAGTAGAATCCGACTGCATAGTAGGAGCAAACACAGCTGTGACACTTTTTGTTCTTGTTTTGTTTTATTTATTTTCTTCACTCGGTTGTTAAACGTTTATTTAATATACATACTCGTAATTACACGATTTCTTGTAATTGTTCGGTTCGATTTTGTGATCGGTATGTGTGTATGTATAGTATAGTATAGTATAGTATAGGTATATAGGTATACATATATATAAAGAAATGTTTAGTTAAATATCAGCTCAACAAACATAACGCGAGTGCCATTGTACAGTATGCATAATAATAAAGTTCATTTACCCGAAAATATGGTTGGTGCCTGTACACAAGAACTAGCATTGTTATCTTTATAATATAATAATCATAACTCGAAAATAACAATATCTTTTATGTACTATATCGATAGAGTATTCTGCTAGTTGTATATTGTATATATATATATATATATAGATGAAAGCAGTAAAAATATCTCCTAGGTACAGATACAGTGTAGTTTTTCTTCCTCATCGATTTTGGTGCGTCAACTTCCCATATACTATACATATAGTACATATATTATATATTTTATTCATAAATTATATTCATTCATAGCTATGTATGTCAAAATATTCATGTACGTCTCCCACACATTCCATGCTACAATTGTTTTGTGTACAAATTAAAATATTCAACAGTTGATTGCAATGAGGCGGACTTTTCATAATATCATTCGTTACAACATTTCTGTTTCTAGTACTTTGTTTCCCTTTATTTGATCTCTACTTTGCTAACTTTCTTTAGTTTAACTTTTTGGGTTGTTTTTAATGTGTTTTTTTTTAGGGACACCTTTTAATTCCGCTACACTTTGTATTTAGTAAATATTCCTTTATGGATTTATGGAATTAATTTCGGTTATTTAAGTGTTTTTGTTTGTTTGTTGTTATTTGTGTTATACGATTTATAGGTACTTTATGTGTGATTTGTGTGATTCCATGGGTGATTTGATTGATGATCGCCCAACTAAAAACGTTGCACTGGTGGGAGGCGACTAGAGCTTCCAGTGCGTTGCAAATTAATTATAAGAGGCCTATAAATATTATAGATTGCGCAGTACTTTCTTCTATATATTGTAGGTATGTATATTTCTTAAGTTTTTGTATTGCTAGCAGCTAGGCGAAAATTCGTTTCATATTTCATCTGCTTTATTAACTGTAATCACTGTGACAATAAATAAATGGCAATTTCACCCAAAATATGACCTATTGTTAATTAATTCAGAAACGATAACAAACGCATGCAAAATCTGCCTAAATGTCTTGATTGAAAGAAAATATTGAATCAAAACTATACAAAGTGTCTAAATCGTTCAACATTTACACCCTATGCGGGTGTGGATGTGCCTTCCTGCCCTGCGTATATGGTATTTCCTATATAAAATATATGTGTGTATGTCGAGTTTTGTATATTGTATGCTATGCTATGCTATTTGCAGATCGTATATTGATTGCACAACAAATCAAAATAAAGCGTTATGCGCTATGCAATTTATATTGCAGGCCAATGTCCAAGATATGTTTGCGGTTATATTTTTTGTTGCTGTTCTTTTTATCGTTTTCGATCATTCATTTTCGGATTGCATGAGTGAGACTGTGAGACTGACTGTCTGTATGGGAGGATGCTCGGAGAAGCTCCTTACTGCGCGAATGGATTGTGCGGATTGGCGCCGGGTATGTCCAGATTGCCGCCTGTGGTCTGATAGGTGCCGTAGGGTCCGCCATTGGGATTCATCTCATTGAGTCGGGAGTTGGACAGGGCGCGTGGTATAGGATTGCTGGGCACCCCGTGCGGTGCCAGATGCGAGGTTTCCTCGGCCACCTAGTGGAATTATAGAAAGAGAGTTAGTAGCTTAGACATTAGGTTAGGGATTCATGTGGTTATTGGCTGACCTGATGTGGATCCTCGGTGACTGGAATGTCCGAGATGAAGCCCTGCTCCTTGCGATAGAAGTTGACAAAGATGAAGAGGCCGAGCACCAGGAGGCAGGCAATACCATACCAACGGAAGGTAGCAGTAGTACCGTAGTAGGTGACGAACATTCCCCCAATAATGGCGCCACAGCCGCGACCGAGCCCATGGTGGATGCCCTGGAGAACGCCCTGGCCGGAGGCACGCAGATGCTTTGGCGTATTGTGGGCAATGTACGAGCAGCAGGCGGCCCAGACGGCGGCATGGGTGATGCCCTGCATCAGCTCGAAGGGGAGCACCATCCAGGGATTGGTCAGGTACGAGATGTACAAGAATCGCAGGACATTGCCGATTAGGCCCAGGCAAAGGACCTTGACGTGACCGATCTGCGTGATCAGGCGGAAGCTGAAGAAGTAGGCAAAGATCTCGGACACGTGATTGATCACGGAAGCCACGCCGAAGAGTGTGGGCGTGCCACCATAGTCCTGCAGATGCCAGAACAGAAAGGTGAAGATCAGGCCAATGCCGAAGCCCATGAACCAGGCAACGAACAGAAACGAGGCCGTCTTCACGTCCTTGAAGTGCGTGAGCACCGTCATCCACTCGGGCAGCTCCTTGGCCGTCTGTGCGAACACCTTGGACTCGGCCCCGATGTGCGGCTGTGGCTGATGGCCGGCGGCCGGGAAACTACTGGCGCCCCCTGAGGCGGCGCTGCCGCTACCTACTGCCAGTGATGGTAGATTGAGCTGGGCGGCCAGCTGGTTCATCGACTCCTCCTCGGCCTTCTTGTTGGGGTCCACAAACTGTGCAGAGGCCTGCTGCTGCTGCTCGTCCAGCGGGTCGTACTTGAAGGTGATCTTCGAGGCGGAGATGATGGCGCAGGTCATCAGCACGGAGAATATGGAGAAGCAGATGTTGTAGTTCTTCTCCTTGTTGCCCGCCCCGCACGGATGGTTGGAGAACGAAGTGGAGTGATCGAGAGCAATGCCCACCAGGAACATGGATATGCCCCAGCCCAGTGAGCCGAACATCCGCTGATGTCCGTACTTGTCCGCATCCTCGCCCAGCAGCGTGATCACCGCCGAGTCCGCCAGCGTAATGGCCGGTGCACTGAAGAACTCCCCAATGAGGATGACCAGAAGCAGCAGGAAGAAAGCTTTTTGGATATCCTAAAACAAGGAAGATCAATAGGTGAGTAAACAGCGTGGAAGACTGCTTCGCTCTGTCTCTGTCCCCACCGGCGTCCTGTAGACCATCGAACTGAAAATGGGCGTCACATAGTCACGATGGTACTTGTCGTCGTAGTTGCTCACAAAGTTGATGTGTACCGGCGAGATGCCTGCGTCGATTCGTGGCAACAGCAGCGATCTCTTGCTCCGACTGTGAGCAGCCTCAGCCTCCTCCAGAGCCTCCTCCGCGGGCATAGTACCCTGATCTATGGAAAGTCATTCGATATTATTATCGTGCAAATACTGAGTTTTAAGAGGCACCTACCCTGATCCCTGTCGTACATGGCCGAGAGATCGCGCTTGGTGCGCGTGTAGGTTAGCACAAAGTCCGTGGCATTGCGGCGCTCGATACAGTTGATGGCTTCCGGGCGGATAAAGCTCAGCGGGATGGTGAAGAGCACCCAGCAGGCCAGCGAGCCCAGCAGCAGCTTCTTGCCCTGCCTGCAGCGATCTGCATAGGAGCCCCAGAAGGGGGCCGAGAGGAACTCAACGAACGGCCGCATGCCCACCAGGATGCCGCACTGGCCCGGATTCATGCCCATCTGCTTGAAGTACACGCCCATCAGGGGGAAGAGCGACCCGAAGGCGGCATAGAAGAAAAAGTAGAAGCTCTTCACCGGTATCAACTCCCGTTCGGTGCTCGCGCCAAAGAACATTTCCAGGATGTCCGAATGGCCGCGTATTTTGTGCGTTGATTCCTTGGCCTCTGGATATCTGCAAAGGCAAAAATCTTCAGTATATCCCGAAACACATCTCTGATGGCAGGGTGTACATACAAATTCGGATCCACCTCGCCGGTGGCCTCAACATCAACGCGAGGCCTGGCACCGGCCGGACCGTATCCAGCTGCCGTCTGCTGCTGCTGCTCCCCGTAGTTGCCCTGGTCGTAGCCACCTGTTGGCTGCTGCTGCTGTTCATAGCCATAGCCCCCACCCTGCTGGCCGTAGGCAGGTACTGCCGCTGCTGGCGCGCCAAAGGGATTGGGTGCGCCTCCTCCTCCGGCATTGTAGGGATTCATTGTGGTTTAGTTGCTTGGACTCCTCGCTCGCTCTCTCACACTCTTTCCTCCCCGTTCGACCGCTTGCTTGCCGTTCTCTCTGTTTATTATTTGGCTCTCACTTCCTTCGTCCCAGTGGGTCTCTTTCGTTTCTTTTGTCGCCCACTTACAGTCTCATCATCACCTTCATTATCATTCGGCAGCTGTGGAATACAGAATACAATGGAGGATGTCAATCGTTTTGTTCTTGCCAAAACCCTAGCAGAAACAGCGTGGAATCATTTGCAAATCATTTACACTGGTGGACAAAGTAAGGGGCTTGATGTGCAGATTACAATCTCACAAGAATATATGTACAAAGATACACTTGGATTATACAAAATTAAAATTGAAATACCATTCTGACACTCTACTTTGTTGAGCAGTGTAATCAGGGTCTCGCGCTGTTCATTTTGTGATTACAGGAACTCGAACGGAATCAAATCATGTTCCGCCGGCCTCTTCTTTGTATGCAAGAGATGTCTGTAATTACAAAATTGTCAACTGCTTCCTTTTGACATTTCCCTTACCCACTCTTTCGCAGCTCGCTTTTGAGCGAGAGCCTCAAGCGAGTGAAAGAGAGACTCAGAGCATGACTAAAGCTGCTGCTACACGAGACGTGTTTCACCCGCAGCACATTTTCAACGGGTGAAACGTGTAATTCTAACGGTTATTATCTGTAGACTGTAGAGAACGTGCATGTTTATTCTCAACCAGTGCCGGGGCAAAACGTAACGTGCACAGGTTGACACTCCGCGAAAGCTAAACAAACCCACGCTCTCCCACTTCCAAGAGACAGAGAGAGAGAGAGAGAGAGATAGAGACAGAGAGAGAGAGAGCTCAATTGAGTTGAGTGGATTGCATTAGCTTTGAGCTTTTCCTGCTACCGAGGCGTGAGTGAGTAATTTCTATTGAATTTCTTTTCGTTCACTTGGCACGCTGCAAATGTGGGTAAATGGTGTACATGGTACATGTATACAAACATATGTATCTGCCATAATCCATATATAGAACAGACTTGTTGTTGCTCTATGTACAATGCATACATAAATATGTACATACATATGTATGTATGTAAGCACTTGTAAAGAAAAGGGCTTTGAAGCATGCAATCATGCAATGAAATGTATCAAAATCTTTTCCGATCCAAAGCATAAATATGTAAAGTCACTTTCTAAAAATAAACTTTTTTGTACATGTTTAAAGCGTAGTTTAATTATCCCCTTGGTCACTCATACAAAAACTTAGAAAGGATCTGATTATATTTTCCAAATCTGTCCTCTATATTCTAAGGCACACACGTATCTCTCGGATGTATCTCTGTCTATATACTCGTATGTATCTCTTTTTATATATACGATTTTCGCACACTTCTTTGAAGGCCAAAGCCAGAGACGGACACAGCCACGGACACGGAGACACTTGAAATGAGCTTTGTGCCACATATTATTGTTATGTAAATGTGTAGGGGTCTTTAAGGGAAGTAGATATCATTGATTTACACACCCAAAATACGGTTTTAATTGTTTGTAACTTTTAAACGACGACACTGGCCTTTCGCTTCGGGGGGAAATGTGTGTGTTACGTGCGTAATCGATAAGCAGAGTTTTCCTCGCGTCTGGCCTCTACACGAACGTTTGACGAGCTGCCCAAGAATTTTCCAAAAGAGCCGCCCCCCAAAAAGAAAATGTTGCGCTCAAAGCGGGAAAGCTCGCTCAAGCGCGTTTCGTTTCGGTCTCTGGTGCGTATGAGTGTGAGTTTGTGTGTGTGTCCGTCTAATGAGATTTTATTTGGTGTTCCACACAGGAAGGACCTCAAACAGAGAGAGCGACAGAACCCAAGCGAAATTGACAGCTAGGCGCCAAAATGAAAAGAGTTTGAAAATGGCACAGAAAGTACCTGTTGGAAACTCATTCAAGAGAACTACTGAGAATCGATTACTGAATTGAATCACTCACCAGATCCCTATCTCGTCTACATGATCGACATTTTGCAATAATAATAACTTGTAGGTCGCATCGCTATAAAAGGTGGAATCACATCCATCGGTCCAGCACTCAGTTCGATCTGTTCAGACCAACCGAAATGAAGTGCAGCCTTGTTTTCCTGCTGCTCGCCTGCATTTGGGCCCTGGCCACTGCCAGCCCTGCCAAGCCGCGCCCCAAAAATCCACGCCCCACCTCCCATCCACGTCCGATACGAGTGCGCCGTGAGGCATTGGCCATCGCCGATCGGTTGGAACTGATCCTGCCTGCTGTCACTGCCAAAAGTCCCCCAATTCTACCAGCTTGATGGCATGCTCGCAATCTCAAGCGGGGCAAGCCCAACATGGCATTTTTTAATACTACTTTTGGGTTTGTTTGAATAAACTGAGAGTATAATATAAACAAATTTCTAGGGGATTTTTGGTTGTTATCTCTAAAAAGGCAAAGATTCTAGAAACTTAAGCGCTGATAAGTGCTGTGCTAGAGAATGCTCAGGCCCTGGGAATGTCAAGCCTGAGGGTCAAAGCAAATCACAATTGAAAGTGAATTTTCCACTGCAAAAACTTTAAAAATGTATCCCCCAGTATCCCAATTATGTGCACTCCTTTCCAATGCGAATATCTGCCATTAGTCAAATGATTTTTCTCAGTGCAAGCTTTCCGTTGACATCCAAAGCGTTCGCACTCTCGGCTGGCTTCCTTTCAGCCTGGTCCTGCGCACAGAATTCAATTAGGACTTGGCTGAAACTTCACTCAAGCGAGTACGAGTCTTAGCACTCTCTTTCACTCATTATGAAACCAAACACCCAACAACCACCAACCACGATAAGAGTTATATTGATAAAGCGGGACATTAAGTGTGGAATGTCATAGGAAACCACTTATAACTGTCAGAGTCTGTCCTGCACAAGTTGAAGCGCTTCTCCATTAGGCCCACAAAGACATTCACTTGAAGCTGTCAAGTCGCCCTAGCCTGGGGGCTGAAATCCAGCAACAAAGGCAGCAACAAGTGGCGTCAATGATGCAAGCAAGCAGGAGTGGAGGAGGTGTGGCCCATGGAGAGGGGTCAGAGCAAGTCACAGAAAGAATATAATTTGCAAAAGTAAATCACCGAAGAGAACTGAGGCGGGAAATTTCTAGCTGATAAGACAGATGCGGCAGGCAAACAGACAGATGAGTCTTGTGAATCACAAGACGAGTGACTCCCCTAGCCGTTTAGAAGATTGTTTCGCTATAAAAGCAAAAGGTGAGCCACGATCAGGCATCAGTTAGCATTCGTTCGTTCTTGCAACAGCCAATACACAACACAATTCAACATGCAGAAGGGAAGCATTCTTATCGTGGCCATCGTTGCCCTGGCAGCCATAGCCGAGGCAGTGCCTCAGTATTACCAGACTTTGCCGTACTATCCACCTCCGACATCTCGACCAGTGCTGATGCGTGCACGCCGGCAGGTTCTGGGCGGATCGTTGGCCTCCAATCCGGCTGGTGGCTCCGATGCTCGTCTGAATCTTAGCAAAGGTATCGGCACTCCCGACCACAATGTCGTGGGTCAGCTCTTTGCTGCCGGCAACACGAAATCGGGTCCAGTCACCACAGGTGGAACCGTGGCCTACAACAAGTGAGTAGATCAGCAGAATAAAGTAGCAGCTGAACAGCGACTAAAGGGAGATTCTCTCTTTATTTACAGCCATGGACATGGTGCCTCTTTGACCAAGACCCACACTCCCGGCGTGAAGGATGTCTTCCAGCAGGAGGTGCATGCCAATCTGTTCAACAACGGCGTACACAATCTGGATGCCAAGGCATTCGCATCGCAGAACAAGCTTGCCAATGGCTTCAAATTCCAACGCAACGGCGCCGCCCTGGACTACTCGCACGTCAATGGTCATGGCGCCAGTCTGACGCACAGCAATTTCCCCGGCATTGGCCGTCAGTTGGGCGCCGAGGCACGTGCCAACCTTTGGTCTTCGGCCGATCGTAACACGCACTTGGATCTATCAGGATCGGCCAACAAGTGGATGAGTGGCCCATTCGCCAATCAGAGAACAGACTTTGGCGCTGGTCTGGGTCTAACACATCACTTCGGTTAGGAGTTGCCGCTGTCTTCCATTATCTTCCAGTTATATATTTATTAAAATATTAAGATTAAAAGAAAAGTGTTTTAAAATATCTGAAATGGCAATGTGTAGGGCCTTAGAGGACCCTTTTATAATCAGCTTCTGGATACATATTATTTGACATGTTTTTCGAGCTGCCTTTTAGATTTGATTTATTAAGTAGTTAATTGAATATTTTTGCTTAGCATACCGCACGCGCGCAAACAATTCGATCCCAATACAAATGATTATTTAATTTTTCTTATGTTAGTTGATGGTTTCCGCTTTACGTTTTCTGGTTGGAGATTTGGGTTCCTGTTGCTAATGTTGCCAATTGGTTGTTTGATTTGTTGTAGCACTGTTTGCGCAGAAACAGAAATGAATTGTTAATTTGTTGTAACAGAAAAAGAAAAAACCAAAGAAAAACTATGAAATGTCTGCTAGTTATGCTGATATCATGTTGAATCTGAATTATGTCGCCACTGCCAGCCTGCCAGCTAGCCAGCTTACGAAAGCTTCTTGGCCTTCTGATAGAGTGTGTCCACCACCTTGCCCATACTCTGAATGGTCTCCAGCACCCGCTCGTAGGTCTTGTCCACGGCCGTCTCCTCGAACACAATCAGCACGCCCTCGCCCTGATCGAGAATGCCACTGAACTTCTTGTCGAGTATCATTTGCGACAGCTTCTTCTCCACCTGGGCCATGGGTAGATGAATGCTCTCGGCAACGTGGGCCACCTGCACACGGGAGTAGGGTTCAATGATGCGGCACAAGTTCTGCTCCAGCATGGTGTCATAGAGCGTGCCCAAATGCGCCTGCACAATCACATCCTCGGCCAGTTCCTTTTTGTACTCCTTGAGGGCGTTTTGGAAGTCTGCGAGGGAGCGTTTGTGTGAAGCCTCTGCCACCGATTTCATGGCATCCACATCGCGTCCCGAGTATGTAATGGCCTGGTTCAAGCAAGAACATTTATTTAAGTATTAATTGAAAATATTCTGTAACTCAATTGGCTTACCAGCTTGCCGCTGACAATCTGATTTACATCATCCGAGTGACCCAGCATAATCTTGCACAGCAACATGTACTTTAAAGAGGTCAAAGCCTTGACGCTGTCCACGCTGTCGAAGCCCTCAAAAGCCTCGTAAAAATAGGAGAAGGCGGTTTTGAAGTCACGCTCATCGGCCGCATGCAGGATGCCCGACTGGAGATCGAGGGCTCCCTGCACCTTGGGGGGACAGTAGATGGCATTGGCCGTGGTACGGGCCGAGGTGAGGGCAGCCCTGGCCTTGGGCAAGTTACTCAATGCATGGTAGGTTTTGCTCTCCAGCAGCTGAACCTCCACCAGCAAGTTTTTGTCATCCAGCTTTTTGAGCTCCTTCAGCAGCTGCGAGCCCAATGCCAGAGCCTCTGTGTACAAAGCGGTGTCGAAGTACAAAGCAATCAGACGGGCCTCCAGCGATTGCCGCAGGAAGGTGCGCTTCTCCTGCTTGGCCCACTCAATGCAGTCTTTGCAAAGTTGCACCTTCGGGAAAATTAAATCTTGCGTAAATGCAATGCAGTGTTAATGGAGAAACAGCAGACTCACCTCAATTCCAGTGCCAGCATCCATGTCCAGGAACATGTCCACCAAAGAGCGCACCAACTTTGCTGCCTTGGCCTTGCTAATCGAACTCAAGAACGGACGCGTCACTTTGATAAGGTCGGCCAACTCTTTGGCTTTCCCCTCCTGTTTGTAGAGCTCGCCCTGCTGCATGATGCCCTGCTCCTTGATGCGGATGCGTTCTTCATCGTTCTCAGCACACTCCTGATCACGCACTATTTTATTCAGCAGCGAACTGTCCTCTTCGCGATTCACACTGGACATATTTGCCTGTGCACGCTCAAAAATTGTAGCTCCGGCCATCTTGCGACTTGGAATATGGACAACGCACGAATTAACCAGAAAATTTTGTCAGCAATCAAACAGCAAACTGTGTTTCAACTACTGCTCTATACGTATGCCTTTTCTCTTTGTGTTTGTAAATATACTTTGTGTTTAATGCGTACCAAGGTGATTAAATCGGACTTTTTTCACCTTTTTGTCGTTGTTATTAAGCGCCAGTCACGATTGGCCAGTATGACCGTGGATTTTGCTAGAATACCTCCTGACCCTCAATAATGGTTCTTAATATACTAAAAATACTTACCGCAAAGTCTCGTATCCCTGGTTATTGCAGCAGGTGTTGGAAAATCACAGAATGATGGTATTTTCTGTAGCTGTTGGTATTTGGAAGTGTGAACGTGTATACTTGACCGTTTAGCTACAGGCGCACAAATTAGAATAGGCAACAAGCCTACACTTAACATTCCATGCACATTCACGTAACGTGCTTATGCTATTCTTGTTAGTTTTGGTATATTTTTGAGGGTCGTGCGGTATATTTTAACGATAAGTTCGCGGTCACACTAGACCAAAAATTAAACAAATATTGAATTCAACATTAAATAAATGCATTAAACAATGCCAGGCGAAGAAACGATCAATTCCACACAAAACAAAACGCGGACAAAGACAACGCGCCCCAGAGCCGTTTACCTGTGGGCGGTAAGCGACGTTCTAAAATGGTATCGACGCCACTGTGGCGAATACTCGCAATACGACCAGCTATTTGTCCAGGTAAAAGTTCCCCCTTTAGGGACTTACCAATGCTTTTCCTTGTCCCTGTCCTTTTTCTCTTTATCGCTGTGCTTCTGTAGCACCGCCGCCATATTTTGAAGGTTGTCAAGACTACAAAATGATATTTTCGCTTGGCATTCCAGTGTCTGCCTACTGATCCTTGGCCTTTGTTTTGTTTGATTCCAGCACGACATCACTGGACGAGCACTGCTACGCATCACAGACACTTCGCTGCAGCGCATGGGCGTGACGGACAATCGGGATCGTGAGGCAATTTGGCGCGAGATTGTCAAGCAGCGCCTAAAAACAGATATAATGGAGATCCGCGACATGGAGCGGCTCAACGTACGCTAGGGGAAAGGGAAACAGGAGCAGGAGCTGCAGCTGCAGCGGCAGCAGCTCGAATCAGTTATTAGTTCAAGCTTTATTATAAGACGTCTTACTGTTAGAGTAAACTACATTTTAGATCGGATATGGACTTTTAATGTAATATCATCGATTCTTGAAGTCGGAGATCGCTTCTACAATATCATTGAGCCCATCCATCAGCCCTCCTTCTCCTGCTTAGGCGTGACTAATTGAACATCCCCGTCCACCGCTGGCTTTGTTGCCGTTCCTGCCGCGACACTGCTGCTGCTGGCACTGGTACTGCAGCTGACCGGCGTGGAGGATGGAGCCGTAATCACCTTTGGCAAGGAGTTGGTTGTGAGTATGTGAGGCATGGTGACGGTACCATTGCCCATGGGCAGTGCTGTGGTGAACAGCAGCTTTGGCGGCTGCAGGCGCTGAGCAGCAGTTGACGGTGTCGCCGCAGCGGCAGGCTGCACCAGGTTCGGTAGCAGCGTCAGCAGCCGATCGCCCATCGAGCGCTCCCAGTCCAGACGCTCGCGCTCCAACGACAGGCGATTGTGCTGAATCTCATTTGCCTCGTTCTGGGCATTCAGCAGCTGCCGCAGCAGGATTCGCATAGCTGCAACGTGGAATGTTTAGCTGTAACGAAGGGATTGAACTATTTTGTATACTGACTTGTCATGTGTCGCCTGGACTGCGATTCCTCTCGCTGCCGCTCACGGCGATTCTCGTCTTTCTCCTGTTGAATTTTCTTCTCCTTCAGTCGCTGCTGCCGCTGTTGAAGCTGCTGCTCCTGCTGCAAGTTCTGCTGTTGCAGCTTCTGTTGTTGTTGCTGCTGCTGCTGCTTTTGTTGTTGTTGCTGCTGTTGCTGCTGTGCTATGGCCTGAGCCTGGGCGGTGGCCAGGGGCAGCGTTGCTGCTGATTTACCCACAGCAGCTACGGCTGCCGCTGCCTTGGCCTGCTCGGTGTTCACGAGAACAAACTTGACGCCGCCGGGTGCCGTGGCCACCAGTCCGGCATTGCTTGGCTGTGCCGGGGCCGAGGCCGATCCGCTGATCATCAGACGGGCGCCCTGATTGATGGCGCTCTGCAGCAGCTGCAGCTGTGGCGCAGAGCCGTTGGCTGGGACGGGACTTGGTCCCACAGCGCCTGGCAGCTTGGACTGCATCAGGAAGTTTGTGGGCACCAGAGAGATCTTTCCCGGCTGCAGCATGCCCGAGCTACCGCAGAGTGTGCTGGTGCTGGTGCTTTGAATGGGCACCGAGCTGCTGGTCGATGTACTGCCGCTGGCAGAGATGATAACATTGCCTGTCGTGTAGGACATTTGGAGATTCGCCGCAGGGTTTCTCGGCCGCTGCAATATATTCGCCAGTGTGGACATGACGGGACTGGGGGACTTCTCGCTGGGCGAATCATCGCCAGCATCCACATCGATGGGCTCCTCCTTGGTCTGGGGCAGCAGCATGCAGTCATCGTCGTCGTCGTCGTCCTCCACCTCCTCATGCTCAGACTCCGCCGGTGCAGCTGCCGAAGCAGTTGCCGGCTCCTGGCCGGGCTCAGTCTTTATGCTAGGAGAAGCCGAGACCGCACTACCGATATCCACATCCGGCTCGGTTGAGTGTTTGCGTCGCTTGAAGGCAACCGGATCCAGGGTCTCCTCATTTAAGTCCGTGTCCACCCCAAGGCAGGCGGCTTCCACTTCCTTGCGGGGCGTGTCCCGCTTGCCTTTGGACACCAGCGAGGAGAGCAACATATCGTCCTCCTCGTTATCGCTCTCGGACAACTCCTCGCCGTTTGCCAGCCGACGGCTGCGCTGCTCCGCGTGCTCCTCCAGGGCCTGCTCCAGTTGATACTTGAGCGATGGGGCTGGCACCTCATTGGGCCGCACACTGAAGATGGGCCGCGTCATGATGGCGTCCATTTCGGCGAAATGCTTCCAGCTGGGCTCCGAGTCGGAGGTGGCGCCGCACTCCTTGTCCTTCTTGAGACGATTGTAGAAACACTTGAGGTTCTTGATGCGCGTGGTTATCTCCTCCGGCGAGCGATGGTAGCCGTACTCCTGCATCTTGGCCGCCAGCTGGCAGATCACGGCGTGCTTCTTGTGCGTGGTGATGAGGGTGCGCTGCAGCTTGGGATCGCCCCACAGCTGAATCAGCAGCTTCGTCTCGTCCGTGTCAAAGTTGGGATTGCGGCCCGCGTAGCTGTGCTTCTTGTGCTTCTCGGCGCTGCACAGGCTCTGGTTGCAGTTGTAATTGCTTGTGGGTGGAACAGTGCTGGCATTGCCACTACCATTACCATTGCCACTGCCACTGCCACTGCCACCACTGGTATTGCCACCACTTCCATTCCCATTCGCATTGCCAGTCCCGGTCGCTGGAGCTGGTGCTGGAGCTGCTGCTGCACTTGAAAATGTTGCAGCGGCCGCATCGGAGCGGCGCTTCTTGATGCGGGCACTGGACTTGAGACTCATCCTGTTGGGCTGTGGGACACTTAAATGCACTTTTTAGCAACGCGAAAATCAATATTTGCGCAGCGTCTGACAACTAATTCAATCGAGGCTCTGCCTCCCTCTGTTCAGTCGTCGAGTCCACTGCAAAGCGTCTGCCAGTGAAAACGAAAGGGAAGCCACTGCGCAACTCCGAGGGCAACCATCGAAAGCAACCCCTAACAACCCTGCACACTCCCCGGGCCACTGGACAGAGAAGAGGCTAAGCCAAGTGCATTACCACCCAACGAAGCAGCCACATGCGCACTGCAATCACCACACTCTCTCTCTCAACTCCAATTGTCCTGCGCACTGACTGCCTGTCTGCCTCATTGATTTGTGCACCTTGTGAGGCTCTATCCCTACGAAATGGCAGGTCAATTCATAGACCCGTCCCTGACTCACTTGTCTGCAAATGACTCCTCCTGGGATGCACGTGCTTTTCTTTAAATAATGAGAAAACGCTATGCAAGATACATATGCGCAGAAAACTTTACAGGACATGCGCCATGGGGGCGTGTGGCGGACAGGGTAATGGGGTTAGTGCAGAGAGTCTGTGTATGTATCACCCTGTGTTGTCGGGGGTGGAAAAACACCAACGAAGCAGCAGACTTTGCGGCAAAGCAAAAAAAAACACGCAAAGCATACTTACATGTGTATACAAAAAAAAGGAGTATCCATGGCAGCTACACACTTACGTACATATGCATGTATGTAATTTTGAATGTAATGTTAAATGCTTTTTGGTAGTTTATGATTTCAGTGTGGATAAATCCATATCAAGTGCAAATTACGGCTTAAAGCAAGAGACAACAGGGACACGAGATCTGCGCATTACACTTTGCTGGACATGCGCAGTAGGGGAGAGCGGGAGGTTAGGTATCAGTGTGACCAACAGATACCGTAGACCTAGCTTTTCACGAATATGAAGAACTGCAGTCTCGCTGGAGTGAGGGTATTTGATCAAGAAAGGCTGGCAGGTTCCACTTGGGCTGCTATCAGCAGTTCAAATTCTTTAAATCGGAGTGCCTATTTCTAATATGAGAGTGTGATCTGGAGGGATTAGGGAGCAGGTGAAGATGAACATGCACTAAATAAGTGTAGCATACTTTCAGGACGCGCAGATAATATTCATGAAATGTATAAGGTATCTTTTGGATGTTGCTTTCATTCTAAAATGTTGTACCGCCATGTAACCGTAGTGGAATTGCCACTACGGAGCACTACGTAATTGCCATTATGGAGCCGCCATAACTGACAATCGCTATACTTCGCTTTTTAAAGCTTAAATTAACCTGTTAATAGCTTTATACATTCATTTGTCGGGGTCTTGTTGATAGGGTGACCGCGAATTTATCGAGCAAATCTAGGAGGTAGAGAATCAAATATATTAGTGGGACCAACGGCAAATTAAAAAAGTATCAATATTTTTGTGCGATAATTTAAACTACGTGACGGTAACATCTATATTCTTTGAAAACTACTTTAATATGCCTTAAAAGTTAATAGATTGATGTAATTGATTAAATGCTCCTTTATATAGAGAAATACCGTAAATCTGAATTGAGTTAAATTTCGATGTCAAAATATCTCGAAAAAATGAATTATATACCGTAGAGGGTCACCCTGTTATCTGTGTTAATATACATTAACATATCGATATAAGGTAGCGCCAACCGGCAAGCAGCTAACATCGATACATAGTACCGATTTCAAAATGAAAAATCTGAGGCCGGACAGGACTCTCATAAAAAATCGGAAGCAGTCAAGAAGTTAAGCGTAATATTTCTTTCAATATGTCGGAGAATAATGGAGACTACCTTACATGTCCTTACGACAAGAGTCATAGAATTTTGCGCAGTCGCATGTCCGTACACTTGGTCCGTTGCTTCCGAAATAATAAAAACTCCAAGAAGGTCCGTTGTCCCTTTAACGTGACGCATCTGACTGATCCTAACGAAATGAAGGTAAACCCTTTGTCACTGAACTAAACAATGACTAAATTAAGCATTTATTTCTACTAGAATCATGCCGCGAACTGTCCAAACCGTTCAGGGTTTGAGCGTTTTATAAAACCGGACAAAAAGCCGGACGTTGAGTTAAGTCACTGCTCCGAGAAGGCTCACTTCCCTTGCACTGTAATGAACCAGGGCGCAAAAAACAAAACGGAGGTAAGCTTTGAGACTTTTTGTTGTTAATCAATTAAAATATGAATATATCGCTTTGCTTCCATTTCGACTAGGCTCATGTCAAAGATTGTCGACATCTCTCGTCCTATGTTCCGCATGTCTCCACAAATCAAACGAAAAAATGGGAGATCGAGTCCACTGAGAACTGGGACGACGAGCCGAAGGTGGAAACCTACGATCCCAAAGCCAATATGGCCAACAAATTCGTAATCATAAACCCGCAAGGCAATACCCCTTCAGCCAAACGCGCCTTTCGTGAGAAAGAACGTAAACGTTTCCAGGAAAACGGACGTTTCTAGAAGCCAGCTGTTGCAGCTAAAAATTGAGTTTTTTTAATAAGCCAAATAGATTCTTCAATCGGATTAAATTATTGTTTCAGTGTTTAAAGTCATGGCAAGCTAGTAATATCAAATAAAACATAAAAATTGAGGAATATGATTTAAG